TAGAGAATGATTGTGTCAGAGTGTGTTTGCCCAGCGACACGTAGGGGAGTTTGATGACAGGACACATGACTCTATATGTGTCTGTGCTATGAGTGTAAATGAGCTACAGGAGATCACAGGGATGGTAATATGGCACTTTAAAAAAGTTAATGCACTAATTGGAGTGCAGAGGTATACAATGCAGTTGTTGTAAGCTTTAAAAAAACTTTACAACTTTAGAATCTCGCCAGACGTATTTGGTCATTCGGGTACTTTTTGCCTACTCTGTTATGAGTACTGTGAATTCGGACATATACATCTTTTTGTCGCATACTATTTTATGCCTACTATATAGTAGGGAAGCATGTGATTTTGGATGCATCCATTGAGTTTGTTATCTTTTGTGTATATATATATATATATATGTGTGTGTGTATATATATATATATATATATGTACACTCTAAAAAATGCTGGGTTGTTTTAACCCAACTTTGGGTCAAATATGGACTAACCCAGCCGTTGGGTTAAATTTTTACATTACATTTTTAACCCAGCATTTTGGGTTTGTCCATATTTGACCCAAAATTGGGTTAAAACAACCCAGCATTTTTTAGAGTGTATGTATATATATGTATATATATGTATATATGAAGAGTTCAGATGCAAAAGCCTCTAAATGCCATTTGAAATTTTCTTCTTTAATGATGATTTTTATCCAACTTGTATATTTAAGTTCAGTAATTTCACTTAAATAACAATTAATAGGTAATTATCATTGCCATTTAAGTGATACAAGCTTGATAAAAATGATCATTATAGAAGAAAATTTCAAATGGCACTTAGAGGCTTTTGCATCTGAACTCTTTATATGTGTATATATATGTGTGTGTATATATATATATATATATATATATATATATATATATATACCTTTTGTTTTCAGTTCCTCATTGTCTGGTGTTGGTGGTGTTTAAGTACGCACTTCTTAGCTCTCTTTTGAGTTGCTTGAGACTTACAGATATTACAATTATAGTATTTCTTTATTGTGAAATGCACATTTCTTAATTTTAAGCCTTAAAATGTGTTTAATATCACTATTAGTAAGGATAGTATGATCTCTGTCTAATATCAGTCTTTAATGCAAGATATTTAAAGTGCACCTAGAGTATATTTGGAACAGTTCCACTTTAGCACAGTCAAAAATACTATAGTATAATATATACATTAGTTGGTCCTCAGGATTATTTCCGAAAAACTAAAGTTAAAGATAACAAAATTAGCTGTTCCAATTCAGCAGACTTTACCAGAAGTACAAGTGCAGGGTATTTATATTAAGTACATAAAATGCACATGTATTTGTAGTATACTTAGCATAAAATAAATGTATTTCAAAAATATTTTGTATAAAAAATGTCACTGTAGGGTAAAGTTACACTATGATTTTTTATTTTCGTCATTAATTGTGGATCAAATTGTTACAATAGTATGGCAGAAGACTTGGCATAATACTGTTCAAAAGTTTGAGGTCAGTAAGATTTAGTAAAACATTTTTGAAAATCTTATGCTCACTCTGACATCTTTTAAGATTTTTTGCTAAATAAATAAATCGAATTATTTTGTAACATTATAATTGTCTTTACAGTCACTTCTGATCAATAATCCATCCAGGATTCATTTCTGAAAAATCTTTTTTCGCTATCTTGTTGATAAATCTTGGTGTTACTCTATGGCATATTTAGACATTTATGAGTTGACTATTCAAAATAAAAAGCATCCATTGCCTCCCATAAAGCACTTTGTACAACTCTGTAAACCCAGTGGCGAACAGTAAAACGAGTCCCAGTTGGTTATTAAAGTGCAGAACTTCGGTCAAAAACGCTACAAAATCGCCCACTGACCAAAGTCTGTCCATCCCCACCCACCTCAGCTGTCATTTTTAGTAAATATCATAGCGCAGTGAAATAATGTGCCAAATCAACACCCTGCCATTGTAGTCTATGTAAATGTCACTTTCACCCTCAACCTTCAGAATCATATAACACTCCTGAGCCAGTCACTCATCTGCAAGCTTCAGCAGTATCAGGAAGTTCATTGTGTAACGCTCGGTGTCCCACCGGAATTTGTGGTAATTACATGAAACGAATATCTTAATTGTATGAACGTGTCTGATAGCTGTATATTTGTCCTGGGTGTAGTTTATATTCCTGGAACTCCTGACACTCTCTCTCTTTCTCCCGTCTTTCCCTGTAGATAATGAAATCGAGCTTTGCGGTATCCTTGCCATATCCTTTCTATTTCCGTTGGTGGGAAACTTGGGAGTATTGATATGCGAACAGTCATGGCTCAAGTGATACCCTCCGGAGGACAGTTCTTTGCATACATGTCCCTTCAGGTTATAATCTGTTACGTTATTATTACTTTTATGTGCTTTTATACCTTGCGTGCCTTTGTGGCGAACACACACACAAAAGAATTAGCCAGCCATCTGCTTGCTTCCACACGTTTGGGAGATCGCAAGGGTCCTCGTCTGTCTGCAGGAAAGGGTACAGAACCCATCAGAAAAGGTCACAATTACGGTGGAAGAAAGTAACAAAAAAGAGACAAATTCCCCCATGCCAAGTCTTTTCCTGCTATGAGGATTGAAAAGTACTAAAGAGAAATCTGTTTCGACTGTGAGAGTTTGTTGCTAATGATGGTTGGAAATTGAAAGACAATGAGGAAACCAGACAGCCAAGTAACTTCTTTTCAAGAGGCTCCTTTCAAGGAATAAACCACGGAAAGGTAGTTTCAGCAGTTGGTCTTGTGGGATGTGAGCAGAAATGTTAAGACTTCTTTCAAACACAGGCCTAGTAGTATATTTATAGGTAATGACTCATCTGTTAGTGAGGAACATGAACAGATCAGTATAAATACATTTAATTTAAAATCTAAGTCTAAGGTATGAGGAGTTAAAAAGTATATTTTCAAAAATATAAGTTTTTATTTATAAAACAAAAACAAAAAAATACTATTTCACAAAAAAACAGAAAGTTCCGGGCTCATAAAAGATATCAGAACTTGGCTCAGGTAACATAGGTTGAACAGAACAAAACAGACCTAGCTAAACTGAGACATGGGGAAACTTAGATATAGTGGCTGATCAGGCCATTCTGACACAAACACATAATATATAAACAAACCACAATAATTACAACACATGTCAAACCAACGCCACCGTGTATGAACTAAGGACAAAGCAATTACATAAATCATAACAAAAATAGCAAAGAAAAAGAACAAAACTCAAAAATGTAACACTCTGCCACCCCCATGAAATGGGAATAAATGGTGCAGTCCAATTAGCCATTCCCCTACTTAAACAGCTGAGAGTCCGTTGCAAATCCTTTTGCCTGTCCGCCAGCCAAAGTCCCCCCAACAGCAACTCCCCAGGAACTGGTTACACAAAAAGGTATTAACTTCACAGAATGTAACTTAAAAATAATGAACCTGAAATTAGCTAAATTGACAACAAAGTTAACTAAAAGTGTGCACCCAAACAGAAAACCAAGTCAAATAACTAATAAAATTGTTTTTAAAACTAAAGTGTGTATGTGTCCAGCTATTTATTTTGTACAATATGTTATGCGCTCAAAACAAATGAAAGTTACCACCGTGAGTTGAAGTTTACATGTGTGGCTGCTAGTGCGGCCATCACAGATTACATCAGGTGTGAGTTCACGAGAGCACTACGACGCATGAAGCTGAATAAACACATTGTTTTTTTTGTTTTTGCGCACAAAAATAATTCTCGTTGCTTGATACACACTCCTGTTCGAACACCTTCATCAAAATGAGCAAATCTTTTTCCGAGTCATTTGGTTCATTCGGCGAAAGAAACGAACGAATTGATTCGGGAAAAGATTTGTTCATTTTGTTGAACGAGTTCGAACTGGAGAGTCACGAACGTGCACCACAGAACAGAGCAAGGCGAGCGTTTGATCTTTACTTTATTTATTTATTTATTTATTTATTTAAATGAGCGATCGTTTCGCTTGATAAGACCCTTATTTATCGTCTGGAATCGTTTAAAGCCCGTTGAACACGTTTGCAGTTTGTACTGAAAGTTTCTTTTGGAACTTGAACCGTCTGGTTCCTACTGAAGTCCATTACATGGAGAAAAATCCATATAATTTCTTTTCGACTGAAGAAAGAAAGGCATGGACATCTTGGATGACATGGGGGTGAGTAAATTATCTGCAAAAGTTTTTTGAAAAGTGAACTAATCCTTTAAGGTTGAGCCACAGTTGTTACTTGAACTATTTTAACAATGTTTTTTTTTTTTCTTCTTCTAACTTTTCTGGACCGGCAGAAAGCAATTGCCTAGAAGTCTATGAAGGAGTGCATCAAAAAATATCTTAAATTGTGTTCCGAAGATGAACGAAAGTCTTACGGGCGTGGAACAACATGAGTAAAGTGAGTAACAGAATTTTCATCTTTGGATGAACTAACCCTTTAAGCAAACCGATTTTTTGTAAAATTATAAATGTCTTTATGGTCACTATCAATTTAATCCTCTTTGATAAAGGTTTTATTTTTTTTTTTTGGAAGAAAAAAAAAACTTACTGACCTCAAACAGTATAATTAGCTAATGAACAAAAATCTGATCTAAAAAACAATGATGTGGTGGTGTTTGCCAAATAAGAGCCTCTTATTTTTTTTATTAGACTACTTCAGCAAAGTTTATATGCATTTAAGGAGCCACTAATGCATTATACAATTTAACCTGCTATGGCTATGACTGAAATAAACCTCTTTTTAGAAAGAAATGTTGTTGCAAAACATGACCTCGTGTCATATTTTGACACCGCAGCCCTGAGATGTAGCCTAAAAAAAAAAATAAAAAAAAATCGGTGGCTAAGACTAGCAAAACATCTTTCCCAAATTCAATGTTGCTGAAAATATCATGTGTGAAGCAGGGGAGGGGTTTCGTTCAGTTAAGAATAGCTATGCGCTTTGAGAGGAGACAGGCAACAGTTCGGACAGCAGACCTCACTGTGTCTCCAGCAGACCACATCTCTCCCCACTGTCTCCGTTCACTGCCTTTACTGGAACCGAGCTTGAGGTAAGGTAAGACGACTCGCTTTCATCGGTGCAATGTGTTTACCCAGAGGTAAACGATATGATTCGTACATCTAAATGTTTGAAAAAGGTCTAACTGATTGGCTATATGTTGTATGGTGCGGGAATACGGGGACGCGCCAGCACGCCAGGCGTCTTGTGCATACTGCGAATCACTTACCTGAAGGACACCTATGTTCCTCACGTCATTCTATATCATTACATATAGTTGATTTAAGGATCTTGTGAATTATGAATCATGCATGGCCGAGTTTTTCCTAAGTTTTTTTTTTTTCGATATGCATTAGCCTATTGCATATCGAAATATTGAGATGCATCACACAAGGCGCGTTCTTGCAACAAGACTACGCGCAACGTTCACAGGATGGGTTTTTAAAAGTTGAACTGTTTTTACAGTTCTACTGTCTTAAAGGGACAGACCCCCCTCGTTTACTCAATCTCGCGTCGTTCCAAAGCAGTAATGTTACTTTAATTGGAACGCGCAGAATGCTTTATCATTCTCCTCGCTTTCACAGTATGGTGAAAAAAGAATGGTGAATTATCTCCATAATAGGGAAAGGAGGAGATATTCCAAACGGGAATAGCGCGAGACGCGACGCACCGGCCAGACACGTACTGGCTAACGTTACATGATTAAAAGTGTGAATCCTAATTTCTAATTTTGGAATATAATTTTCTACTTTATGAGATCAGGTGTGTTTCACCTTGCTATTGATTGTTAGGGTGATTGCAGTGGTTACTTGTAAATAGGTTTGTGTCTATGTAAACAATCTAAGAACATGCGTGTGATCATACTCACTAAAGGTTTGTATTATTCACTGTCCAATTGCGTGAAGTCATCAGTTGATGTATTGTATTGAAAAGTGCTACAGCTCTCCCTATCAGCTATTATATTTCTAGTTAGGTGAAACGCTTGGCTGTTTTGTATATCAAATTAAAAAAAGAGAACCTGATTCGAATGATACCAGCTGTGTTGTTATCAATTCAATTAATGTGATATATATATATATATATATATATATATATATATATATATATATATATATATGTAAAGCCAGATGTGATTTTATGATTCTTTATAGAGCACTTCCAGGCCACGCTTAAAATTTAGATCCGAATACTTCTGTGAGAATAGAGATTCCCAGGAGTATCCCAGAAGCTGAATAAATGATGAATAGGACACGGGAGTGTGCGCACTTGCTTTTTCTGTATGTCTGATGTCATTCTGTATGGTAGATTATTGAAGTACAACAGCTTCCCTTGCCATGTCTCCAGATGGTGTTGAGTGTATAACCTTCTGCTAACATCTGCTAATAAAGCAACTTTCCAGAGACATAACTCTTAACGTATCAGCCTCCTCCTCAGCCTCCCCCTACCAACGCACACGCTTAAAGCTGTGATTTTGAACTGAGCATGCACTGGCTTCCTTCTGTTGACTATTGAACTGATCCTTATTGCCAATGCCAACAAAGTATGACTCTATAGTCATGCATAAGACATGCTTGAAAATATACAGTGAGATCATGATGCTCTGAAAATCTAATACCTATTCCAAGGTTGTTGGTTTAACTTTTTTTTTTTTAATTTAATTGAATGTTTGTATTTATTTTACTCTCTTTTTATGGCATGGAAAACTTGTAAAATACAAGAAGTTAAAAACAAATTATAACAATCATTACAGTGATTTCTGAGGTAATGAATATACATTTTTGTAGTTATGCTCAGTCCTAAAAGCCTGTTCAACTTCACACCAAGGACAATATCTATAACAATAACTTTGACTTTAAAGTAAAATAATAATCTTATCTTCCTATATGAGAATAGCAAAGTCTACAACCAACAAAAACAACAAAAGGACGATATCTTTGGAGTCGCTTTCATAATTTTACTCTCTTTCCAGCAGATGAATGATAAAACAATCAAAATAACATTAAAAACATTCAGTCAATCAGCATTTAAAGCGGCAGACAACGCGTAGGTTTGGATGGGGTTGCAGACGAGTAGTTTTGGATGGCTGATATCTTTGAAAGAGTGACATTTATTTAGCGCTTCTCTGATGATGCATTTAGAAATTTTCAATGTGTATTTCATGCACAAAATGGAGATACAGTACAACAGGTACTAGTCAACAAGCCTGCCAGTGTGGACGCACTTCACTGTGACACTGATTTTTGCTCGCTTTGTCCTCTGAATAAATTTGATTTGAGGCTTTTTTTGAATGGGCCAATTCGTAAAATATGTACGATTTAGCAAAATCGTATTAATTCGTACGAGTGAGGTCGTATGAATTGTTACGAATTAGCCACTTTTTAATCATTCGTCGAATTCGTACGACTTGGTCGTGAGAGTGTTGTCATGTCATAATACTTTTGCGCAATGAAAGCTTATTAATAGCCTTTCTTGTTCTGTCCTATCTATTATATTTTGCTTTCTCACTAAACAGCTGTGCTTTACATTTAAGCTGTGCATCTGATTTTTTTTACGACGTTTTTCATGAATGTATAACAACAATACAAAGATCAATGTGTAACGTTTTACCAGAGTTAGTGCTACACTTATTGTCTCTTATTTGTTCCCCACTAAGGAATGTTTTTTTCACTAAATGTTCAGATTTGATAAAATTATTGTGCACTTGTGATATTTCTAGGCTAAGTTTTTCTGAGTTATCCACTAATCTAGTTTACAATAGCATTTTTGTCATAGGTTATGGTCATATATATTTTTTTTATTTGTTGTTTTTCTTTGTAATGAAGTTGTCTGTATTAAGTAGATTGTTTAACACACAAAAGAGTGTGGTTTTTAGGGGTTTAGGGTTTTATTTAGTTATAATAAACAAAAAAATGAAAAAAAAATTATCCGATTAATCGAAAAAATAACCGTTAGTTGCAGCCCTAATTGTATTCATTTTATAGTTTGTCTTATAGTAAAATAACTGATCCATTAAAAAAAAGTATGACTATTACTTCATGTCAGGCATTACAAGGTTAAGATGTGTGTAGACGTGGACCCAGATATGCATGTTATGTGACATTTAGCAAGCATTTCCCATGGGCGCTGATATGATATGCTTAAAGAGGGCGTTTGAAGGTAGTTGAAAGGGCATTTGGCTAGTTTTGCAGGAGATGTGCTTCTGCTCAAAAGCCCAAATATTAAAATACAGCTCTGAAAACACAATTTATTATTGCTTGCTTGGTAAACAAGCGCAACATGATGATGAAAGACCTTAATACGAAGCACTTTCTTCAAAGAAAGGCATTTCTATGTCTGCTGGAACAAAGATTGGCACTCTCCAAGTGTTTCCCAAGGTGAGTTTTGAAGAGGGAAATGCTTTAATTGGTTCATGTTGAGACAAATCGTTTTTCCAGTAGACTTATGGAGAGGGTGCCAGACATGTGGTGTCCACACCTTGGTTTGATTTGTTTTGAACCTGTACTTTGCTTTTCTCAGCAACTTTTTTTTTTTGCCCCCACCCTTTCAGTCACACGCTCCGATGTAATGCTTCTTGGCAGTATGCGCAAGGTTCATGAATAAATCAAAGCCCTCACTGTCAATGCTTAGAGCAAGAGGGAATGGAATTATCATGTTCCGTACAGTTTTCATCCGAAAAGTACTTTCATCATTCTCCTCTTCCCTCCTTGCTTAAAATATTGCGAGCGGTTAATGCCACAGTACGTTAGAGAGACATAGCTTATTGGCAGCTTTATAAATATTAACCTGTGTCATATTTTTATTCATCCAAATAATAGTATTCGTTATCCATTAATAATCCAGGCCGTACGGTGAACCGAACACTAACAGCAACTTTTTTGAGATGTCACACAATTGTCGATTCGGATTGTCCTCTGCTAGTGGTATTTTCAACTGTACATCCTTTGAGATTTCTGTGGTATCATCCTTTCTGAAAAGGAAGGTTTGATTTATGGTCTTTAGGAAGAATAAAGGCTTGCCATTGTTCTTCCTAAACAATAGTACTACAATAGGACGGGTTTTACATTGCATTTTTAAATGGGTGCAAAATCTTCCCTGATATCTGGGAGTGTATGGCAGAAAAAACGATTTAATTGGAATTGAAAACTAGCATGGCACTAGTGAAGTATGGGGAAAGAAGGCACCATAATCAAGTTTACAGCTGCGGGCTCGAGTGGATTTACTGTTCTAAAATGCTTTTGAGGTTTTGCAACAGATTTGGTTTGGAATTTATCACCATATTCACCATAATTTTAGTTTTGTGTGGCCATTAAAGTCAGAAGAACTTGTAACTCCTCACACACAATGGCCTCTCTTGCTTCAGGGGTCCATAAGTAAAGTTCAAGTTGAAGGATATACCCACAGAATGGTTCTAAGATTTGCATGCAAATTTCTCCCTCAAGCCTAATGATTTCGCTCTAACAACTATTCAGAGGCTTGCGAGGCTCATTTCAACCTTTAAAGAGTTTACCGGCTCATCTTTGGGATGCGTAGCCGGCAGTGACAGCCGGAAGTGTGCCTTTGGAATTTAAGAAAGCCTTTCTTAATTATTTGTAGTGCAAATAATGTATGTTAAGAGGATTATAAAGTTTCCTGTTTAATTAACATTGCATTATTGGTGCGTTGAAACAAAGTTAAGTTGCAAACTTTGTTTTTTTTTTTTGTTAATAAACTTGGCAAATGGAAGTCATGTGGCATACAACAAATATACTTTAAGAAATGAATCTTAAAGGCACACTATGCAAGAATTGTAAAAAAAAAAAAAAAAAAAAACTTTTGCTGATAATGTACTCACCCCCATGTCATCCAAGATGTCCATGTCATTCTTTCTTCAGTCGAAAAGAAATTGAGGTTTTTGATGAAAACATTCCAGGATTTTTCTGCATATAATGCACTTTAATGGGAACCAAACGGTTCAAGGTCCAAAAGACAGTTTCAGTGCAAACTGCAAACTGTTCAAAGTGTTTTAAAAAAAAGTACTTTAAACGATTCCAGACGATGAATAAGGGTCTTATC